TATATATTACAAAGATAAGATTACATCATATTTGAATATCATCAATATTTATCTATACAACAAATCATAACAGATTATGAAAATCACTTATCCTCTATCTTCGGCTTCTGCTTACATTCCCCCTCAATCTTAACTGATATAAGGATGAGATTATACTTGAGACGTTCTAACATATGGCGAGTAATAGGCTTGGTCAAACCATCAACTATTTGATCATTAGTAGAAATAAAACGGACATCCAAACCACCTATAGCCACCTTTTCTCTAACAAAATGAAAATCCACTTCTATATGTTTTGTTCTAGCATGAAAAATAGGGTTAGCGGTCAAATAAGTGGCTCCAAGATTATCACACCACAACACCGGTGGTTGAGGCTGATATACCCCTAATTCCTTGAGTAAAGACTGTATCCAAATAGCTTCTGCAGTACCATTCACGAGTGCCTTGTACTCAACATCTGTGCTTGACCGAGATACTGTAGGCTGATTTTGCGAACTCCATGAGACTAAATTTGGGCCCATGAATATAGCAAATCAACCGGTTGACCGACGAGAGTCTAAACAACCAGCCCAATCGGCATCTGTAAATACACTTAACAGTGTGGACATAGACTTTCGAATGTTGAACCATGTGTTAGTCGATCCCTTGACATATCTCAAAATACGCTTGACATCATCCCAATGAATATCCATTGGCTTGGACAAAAATTGACAGACCTTGTTAACTGCAAATGAAATATCTGGTCTAGTCAATGTAAGGTATTGCAAACCACCTACCATACTTTGATACTTAAAAGCATCTAATTCATTAAGAAAAATTCCACAATCATGAGAAAGCTTGTCCGTAGCACACATGGGGGTTGAAACGCTTTTACAATTCTTCATGTGAGCTCAATGAAGCAAGTCAGTGGCATACTTGTGTTGTAGAAGAGTGATTCCCCCTGAATTGTGAACGACTTCAATCCCCAAAAAATAATGCAGGCGACCAAGATCCTTAATGGGAAAAGACGTAGACAAAATTTTGATCAAAATATCGATCACCTAAAGAGATGTACCAGCAATAAAAATATCATCCAGGTACACAAGCATATAAATTGTTATGGTAGCACGTTTGAAGATGAAGAGTGACGCATCAACTATAGAAGAATGAAAACCTAGTTGATGAAGCTTATCACTGAGCCGACAGAACCAAGCATGGGGCGACTGTTTCAGACCATAAATAGCTTTTTGAAGTTTACAAACGAAATGAGGATAATGAGGATCCTTAAATCGAGGAGGTTGCTGCATATACACCTCCTCATTGAGAAAGTCATGAAGAAAAGCATTGCTCACATCGATTTGTCTGAGATGCCAACCGCGAGAGACAGCAAGAGAGAGAATTAAACGGACTGTAGCTGGTTTAACAACAGGACTAAATGTGTCCTGAAAATCGATCCCATATTGTTGAGTAAAACCGCGTGCAACCAATCGTGCTTTATGCTTATCCAAGGAACCATCAACATGTTGTTTGAGTTTGTACATGCATTTTCAACTGACAACATTCACATTAGGTAGTCTCGGAACCAAGACCCATGTATTGTTTTTAGTGAGGGTAGAAAATTTAGATTTCATTGCAGCTTGCCAAGCCGGGTCTTGAAGAGCTGCTCGAGATGACGTTGGTTCAGCAAAAAAAGGCACGACGTTGTGGATTGTATAAGATAGTACCATCAGTGAAGTGTCGAGGACAAGTCTTTCTTGCCCGTCCACGAGTCATTATTGCAGGTGCGGAGACGATCTCAGTAGCAGCCGGAGAGGATGTGACTGGGGACACTGGAGAACCTGGTTCGGAAGGAAGTTGAACAGTTGAGTCAGCTGAACCAGCAACCGTTGGTGAGTCAGTAGGGCTGATGTTTGAGGGAGTATATGGCGCTGGAGAAGTTGCAGCAGTGCTGGAGGATACTTCCACAACAGGTGAAAGAATGGGACCCATGTGTGACAGACTAGGACCCGATATAACAGCTGGAGTGTTGGTCGTACCTGTGGGAGCTGCAGCTGCATGAGAAGAATTAGCCAATAATAATGACAGGTCATATTTACTCAAATAATCATTCACAATAGTTGGTTCTGACTTGGGAAATGTGACAACATCAGACTTAGAATACATGTCGGTATCAGTGATTGGAATGGCATATGGAAACAGTGACTCATCAAACACAACATCACGTGAGATATAAATTTTACCGGTGGTTTTGTCTAGACATTTATACCCTTTATGCATGGAACTATACCCTAAGAAAACATACATCTTAGACCAAAAATCTAGTTTGTGAGAATTATACTTAGGAAGACTAGGCCAACACGCACATCCAAAATTTCGCAGAAACAAATAATCATGTGTGATTTTTAAGAGACGCATGATGGGAGTAGAATTTGATAGTGTACGACTAGGCATTCGATTGATTAAGTAACAAGTCGTAAGAAAGGCTTCATCCCAAAAATGAAGAGGGAGTGAAGCATGAGCTAGAAGAGCTAGTCACATTTCAACAATGTGACGGTGTTTCCTTTTCGCCATCCCATTTTGTTGGGAAGTATGGGGACATGACACCCTGTGTGAAATACCTATTTTTTGAAAATATTTATGGAGCTTATGGTACTCACCACCCCAATCAGATTGAACAGTTCAATTTTTAGTGTTTAGAAGACGTTCAACATGGTGTTGAAAGTCATAGAAGACCTGTTCAACATCAGATTTATGCTTAATAAGATAAATCCAGGTATAACGGTTGTAATCATCAAGAAAACTCACATAATAATTAAAACCACAACTAGATTCTTGTGCAGGTCCCCAAACATCAGTATGAACAAGTTCTAAAGGAAAAGTTGTAGAATGAAAACTTTTATTATAGGAAAGTTGATGACTTTTTGCACGTTGACATGCATCACAAACATTTGAAAAACTATTAAAAGGACAATCTAATTTATTGGACTTCAAAATAGACCTAACAACTACGGGTGAGGGATGACCCAGACGCTGGTGCCATTGTAACGGAGGCACTTTGACACTAGATGCAGCTTGAGGAATGCGAGATGAATGAGCAATGGGCACCGGATAGAGACCTCCTTTGCTTCTACCGAACAAAAGCGTTTTCTTCGTGACCATGTCCTTTACAAGAAACATATTTTGGTGAATTTCGATAAACACATTATTATCAGACACAAGTCTATAAGCTGAAAGAAGATGTTTACTAATATGAGGTACTCTTAGAATGTTTTTTAGAACAAGTGACTTATTCAAACAAGGAATATGTGAATGACCAATATGAGAAATATTCAAACCTGCACCATTGGCGACTTGAACTTGGTCTTTTCCATGGTAGCTTTCATGAACAATCATCCTGTCAAGATCACTTGTAAGCTGATCTGTTGCTCCACAGTCAAGGTACCAGTGTGGATCGTGGTTGTAGTTTCCCGTGGTAACGTTGTTCCCAGATCAAGTTTCTTCCAATTGATAGGCATGATTAAAGCGATTTCTGTAGTTTAGAGCAACATGACCTGGGATACCACAAACCTAACATCGAGGTCCACCACTGTTCCGTCCACGGCCTCTTCCACGACCACGGCCTCCACCATTGTTTCTGAAATTGTTGTTTCGATAATTGTTGTTGTTGGAATTGTAAGAATTCTATCCGTGTTGATTGAAGTTGCGACGAGGCCCATTGGAATCTTGTCTTGTGACGTTGTTGACAGATGACATAAAATCTGTAGTGGTATTTTTCACAGCTGAGGCTTGAGCTTCATGGGCAATCAGGTAGGAGTAAAACTCTGGTAAGGTCACAGCTCTTTGATTCCCGAGCACCGTTATCGCCGTGAACAGATCCACATGTCCCGGGCCTAGTCCAACAAGGATATACCCTATGACTTCCTCATCAGTCATAGGGTGCCCTATGTTCGCCATAGTATCTGCAAGAGAAGTCATCTTTTGATAAAACTTCGACGCAGTCATATCGCCCTTCTTCGTTGTAGACAGCTGTGTTCTAATCTGAATCGAGTTTCCCCTGCGTTGAGCCGAGAACATTGTATGGAGCGATGTCCATAATTGACTCGATGTGTCAATACACCTGGTGAGTTGTGACAAAACATCCTCTGTCATGGAGGATAGTAATCCCCCAATAATAACTTGATCTTGAACCACCCAGTCTAAATATGCAGGATTATCAGCCTTCTTTGGAGCTTCTTTCCCGTCGGATGCACCTGGGGTCGAAATTTTGGCATCTGGAGTTTTTGTGGTTCCATCAAGGAAGCCATACAATTGAACCCCCCGTAAAATAGGGACTACCTGGGCTTTCCAAAGCAGAAAATTCGTGCGAGTTAACCTCCACGTTATAGCAGTAGCTATCTTGGCATAATTGATGAAGGGAGGAGCCATGGGAAAGCGATCTGGCAGAGGACTAGAAGCCGGAAAGGAAACTTTGAACTTCAGATGGTATCTCTTTCGTGAGAAAATTATGAGATAAATCAAGTTCCGTAAGATGAATTAATTTACCAATATCGGATGGAATTTTCTCACGGAGCATGTTATTACTAAGATTCAAGTAGTGGATTTGTGCCCATTGACCGATACTTGTTGGAATCGACCCATTCAATCTATTTTTGGATAGATCAAGTACTTCAAGGAGTTCACAAAATCCTAGATCTACAGGTATAACACCTGAAAGATGGTTGCCAACAAAGTACAATTCCAACATACTTTTCATCTTCCCAAACTCCTTTGGGATCTCACCAACCAAATGATTCGAAGACGGATCAAGTCTTTGTAGGTTAGTTAATTTTCCAAACTCTGGAGGAATAGAACCACTAATTTTATTTTTGTTCAACTTAAAATCAGTTAGAGACCTCAATTTCCCAACTTCACTTGGAATGGGACCACCAAGCTCATTGTGATCCATATAAAGGATATTTAAAGAAGTCAAATCACCAACTGATGAAGGAATAAAACCACAAAGCTGATTTCTGCTCACGTAAAGATGAGTGAGAGACTTCAACTTCCCTACTTCACTAGGAATGGGACCAGATAATTTGTTCTCAGTTAAGTCCAGCCACTGTAAGTTGCTCAGGTTTGCTAGTGATGAAGGAATACAACCACTAAGCTGATTGATGCCCACCTCAAGATGAGTGAGAGACTTCATATTCCCAAGTTCAACAGGAATAGGACCAGAGAGTTGATTTTGGTACAAATAAAGGAGATTCAAAGATGTCAAATTACCCAATGATGAAGGAATAGAACCAGTAAGTTGATTGTTGTATACCACAAGATCTGTGAGAGACTTCAAATTCCCAAGTTCAACAGGAATGGGACCAGAGAGTTGATTTTGGAACAAATAAAGTCTATTCAAAGATGTCAAATTACCTAATGATGAAGGAATAGAACCATTAAGTTGATTGTTGTGTACCGCAAGAGCTGTGAGAGACTTCAAATTCCCAAGTTCAATGGGAATAGGATCAGAGAGTTTATTTTGGTACAAATAAAGGACATTCAAAGATGTCAAATTTCCCAATGATGAAGGAATATAACCACTAAGCTGAGTGTTGCTCACCTCAAGCTTAGTGAGTGACTTCAAATTCCCAAGTTCAATAGGAATAGGACCATAGAGTTTATTTTGGTACAAATAAAGGACATTCAAAGATGTCAAATTTCCCAATGATGAAGGAATATAACCACTAAGCTGATTGTTGCTCACCTGAAGATCAGTGAGAGAATTCAAATTCCCAAGTTCAATGGGAATAGGACCAGAGAGTTTATTTTGGTTCAAATATAGGACATTCAAAGATTTCAAATTACCCAATGATAAAGGAATAGAACCAATTAGTTGATTGTTGCTCAGACTAAGATTAGTGAGAGACTTCAAATTCCCAAGTTCAATAGGAATGAGACTAGAGAGTTGATTTTCCCATAAATAAAGGAAATTCGAAGATGTCATATTACCCAATGACGAAGGAATATAACCACTAAGCTGATTCATGCTCAACTGAAGATCAGTGAGAGACTTCAGATTCCCAAGTTCAACTGGAATTTTACCAGATAGTTGATTTTGGTACAAATAAAGGAGATTCAAACATGTCAAATTACACAATGATGAAGGAATACAACCACTAAGTTGTTTTTTGTACACCGCAAGATGAGTGAGAGACTTCACATTCCCAAGTTCAATAGGAATGGGACCAGAGAGTTGATTTTGGTACAAATAAAGGACATTTAAAGATGTCAAATTACCTAATGATGAAGGAATAGAACCACTAAGTTGATTGATGCTCACATCAAGATTAGTGAGAGACTTCAAATTCCCAAGTTCAATAGGAATGGGACCAGAGATATTGTTTGAGTATAGGCCCAAGAAGGTTAGCCGGTGCAGGTTTCCTATTTCAGGTGGGATTACTCCTGAAAACTTATTGGATGAAAAATCAAGATATACCAATTTGGACAAAAGTTGGATTTCTGGTGGGATGGGGCCAAAGAAGTTGTTTAGACTGAGCTCAAAATGAGTAAGATTGTGTAGCATAGAGAATGGAAATCGATAAAGCGTACCATTTAGTCCAGATGATGTGAGGTTCAACTTCTGAATTCTCCCATCAGCATTGCAAACTACTCCAGACCAAGAAGTGCATGAAACCAATCCACTGGAATTCAAAGGGAGGACAATCCATGAAGAGAGCAAGGAGTTTTTTGGGATTTCAAGGCTTGCTTTCCATTTGAGAAGAGCATTGGCTTCCTCTAAAGAAGCAGAAGTGAAATTTGGTTTGGGGAAGAGTGTGATGATTAGTACAGCCTGCAGAGAGAGAAATAACAAGTTTGAAGAAGACATTATTTTCTTTGACATGTTGCTTTTAATAAAAAAATGAATGGTTTGCATGTCCTAATTTATACTTGTGCTTCCTTTTTCTCTTGTTTTCTTATTCATGTACTTGAAAAGGCAGTGTCATGTTTTCCACAAGGCGTGTCTTTTAACGTGTCAAAATTTTCCGCAAAGGTGCGTATTACATTTTGAATTGTGTCTATCTGACATGACATTGATCCTTCTTTTAGAACAATAAAAATCGTTATAACCCAATATTAGCAAGGCGCTAGCTAGGATTACAAAAAGACAACATGCGGTATTATATGTTATTGTTGGATTAACAATGTAATAATATAACTTAACTTGATTATATAGACATATTTATTTTTGTTTTCTGATAAATGCTAATTTATAGAAATTTCACTCCAATTGTATTTTACTTCATAATTAGTTCTATAACTAAGACTATCATATAGATGATCCACGTGAAAACTGTGTGAATGAGTCAATGGAGATAGGGACATTACATATTGGTCCTTTAAAAGAATCTAAAAAACAAATGGACATGGTGTGTTCATTGAAGATGTGAATGAGGGAAAACCGTAAATTAAAGAATATAAATATGAAGATAATTTAATAAAAACTGATGGTATCTATTTCGTCTGTTATTTCCTTTTATCTCCATAAGTGTGTAAAACGTCTCATACGTACTTGCATAGACTTAAATAGGAAGATAATTAAATAAAAAGTGAAATACAGGTATGTTATTGTTTGTTTCACATATTTCTACAACTGATTAGCTTACACAACTCTTTAGAACTCATCTGCACATCACGTTTCTTGATCAATTCTTTCTCTTAGGGTCCTTATCTTCACATATTTGTGACAGAATTGACGACATATTTTTTGTTGGAATAAAAAGTGCAATATAACTTAGATTACATTTACGTTTGTTTTCCATGTAATTCTAATAAAACTTTCTTCCCAAAAGCAAACATACCAATCAAATTGATCAATGCTCCCAATTCGGCAGCCAGAAGAAAGAATTGTGCACATGAAGCTTTGAGATGAAATCAAAGGCAGCACAAAAAAAAAGGTTGAATTTCGCCAAAGCAACACCAGGGGTAAAATGGTCAAAAGTTGAATCGAAAGGGAGAAAACCATCTCATAGCATGTATGTACGCTGTACAACACCATACAGCTCAGCAATTACACAAGTCTAGAAGGGAAGGGAAGCCAACAAATTTTTATGAGCACCAAGAATTAATCCCAACATGATATCAACTATGGCACCAGCTATGAAAACCATGCAAAACAGTTACCATTTCAATCTGTAAAGGCAGTGAAAACGCAAACACCAAGAAACCAGGCTGATTTTTTTTTTTTTGAATTTAATGTCACGTCAGCTGTATGGTTTGTTCATAGTGCAGTGTTGTGATTACATAGTGTATTTGAAAACAAAGAATATTTACAGAAAATAAAATGGTCTCCATACATTTCTTAATTCTGCCCCAAATAATTGTACACACCCAATATACAGAATGAGAAAATAATGGTTTCCAGGCAATGCTATTAATTATATATTAGCTAACATTACACTTTAGAATGTGAACCAGACATACTTATTTTTCTAGCTAGTTAATGTTCTTATGGTGTTTGGCAATTAAAACCTGCGTAACATTAAATATCTTGTCTTTGGAAAAATTTGATTCCCATCAATATATATGTGGAGGGGTTTATTTGTTTCCATATTACAGTAACAGTACTACAGATGACAGTTTTGAAGTAATTGTGTAACATAAGAAATAGACATTGATTGCCAACCTTTATGGACATTAGGCCAACAGCAGTCACAAGTTACCCGCTAAACCGCTTTAAACATAGAGACCTGTGTACAAATATTGGTAGTTGTATAATTCGTACTTGTGAACTCAGAAACAATATCATGCAAACAGATTACATTCATATGTGTGTTTCCAGTAGGGATGAGATCGGTCCAAGAACCGAACGAGAACCGAAAAATAAGTATGGTGACCACTCGAGGAGGAGCTTTTTGATCTGGTTCTGGCTCTGGTGTCGAACCGCTGGATGAGCGATTACACGAGCTCATCACATTGTAGATTACTCGCGGTATCATGGAAGCCACGCCAATGACTTTTGGTACCATCAATGCAGGGATTATGGAGCTTTTGAATGAGCGACTCGGGGCCCTTCATGCGGAGATCATCGCATGACAGTTAGGAGCACGGACTCCCTTGTTTCAGGAGTTTAGGACCTATGGAGCTACGAAGTTCTTTGGGGCTAAGGACCCCATCGCTAGCTGCCATTGAATCGTTGACGTGGACAACGCTCAGCGAACGAGTTTCTGCCTTGAGGGGGCGAATGTAGGGTTTGCTTCCTGCATTCTAAGAGACCGAGCACGGGTGGGATGAGGTTGGTCGAGCATTGGGATCTGCGGCGGTGGTGGCCATGCCTTGGGGGGAGTTTCTTATGAGATTCCAGGAGGAGTTTGCACTGGCGATCGAGTTCCATCAGCTGGCGAGTGAGTTTCAAAACCTTCGTCAGACTACTGAGACTGTGGCGGAGATCACCACCAAGTTCCGTGAGAGGGGTATGTTGGTTCCGTAGTATGTTGTGGATAAGGAGATGAAGAAAATGTGTAACGTCCCAATTTTGAAGTCCAAAAATTTCATTTTTAAATTAAGTATCTCATGAAATAGTTTACCAAACATTGTCAAGTTACATCAACTTATAAGAACCATAACGTCACGTTTCATCATCACAATATCAAGAGTTAGGAAAATCAGAGTACAATCCCAGAAACTCAGTGTGGAAATCATGTGTGTGTATGTGTGTGTGTGATGCACTGCTACACCGCCGGCTCCTTCCCCTTGGACGTAGAGGTACCTGAAACCAAAACTGAAACTGTAAGCACAAAGCTTAGTGAGTTCCCCCATCATACCACATACCAAAACCACGTACATATTGTCGGGCAATTCTGTGGTGCCCGACCTACCCATGTCAAGCCATTATGGGGAGCTGACCTACCCATGTCAAGCCATTCTGGGGTGCTGACCTACCCGTGTCAGGATATTCTGGGGTGCTGACCTACCCTCCGGTCTATCTCAACCGAATACGAGGACTATTTCACCCCCTACCACTAGCATACGATAGCATATCATAATCGTGATGTCAAACATATCTGGGGTGTCCGACCTACCCATTGGTCCTAGCGACCGAATCGGGGACTAGTCCCCTCCTACTGATACTATCTCCCATAACATAGCATACTAGCATACACATTTATCAAGAACAAGCAACCCAGATGATTATCACAAAGACAATCATCACAACTAAACAATTACCAGTGGGCCGGCCTTGGTGCCTTAGACCCACTTCTACTGGAAGGTAACTCACCTCGATGTCGTGTAGTGTATGAGATGTCCTCGGCGTGAAAGTCGACTCCCCTCGACTCCTCAATCCCTACACGGCAACCCTTCTAAGTTATCAATTCGAACATGCAACCCAAACCAGTGTCAACTCAATTCAGTCAAAGTCAATATTGGTCAAAGTCAACATCCAGTTGACCTGACTCGCCGAGTTGGCCTAC